CGGGGTAAACAATATAGACAGAGAAGCTTCTGTGGCAATCAGTTACCTAGCAGCAGGTAACAAGCAACCTGGGGAAGAGTAGAGGAAGACTAGCTGGCTAGTCATTAGTTTAGAGAAATCACTTTTTGAACTTCTGTATCAGGTTAGGCCTTTAGCCTTGCAGGAAACTCTTAAATCTGCATCCCATATACCTACATCATATTTTATGTAGCAACTATATATATTTTTCATTTATTTAACTTTATTCATTATTATTTATTTACATATTTAATTTGACCAGAGAGAGAGAGAAAGGTAAAGTGAGAAAGCAAGCTACCAGGTCCGAGACTTGAACTGTTGTCAGCCATGTGGGAGTCCAGCATCACAACCACCAGGCCACTTCCCAGCCACACAGCTATAATTAATTCATTGTAAGTTGATGTGAGTTAGCAGTCAATGTCCAATTGCTATGTAGCTCCATGAAGCAGCAAGTGGCTTCAGTGTCTTCTCCACTCTGTTCTAAGGAATTCCTGCACAATGCCTAACACTCTTAGTTGCTCAGTTCAATCTATTTATTTGGTTAGTGGTAGAATCTAAGAGCAAGAATAATTCTTATTCTGTAGCATCTTCACTATCATCTGCCCAGTCAGGGAAAATAGGAACCACTGCACTCCTATCAGAATCTGAAAATAGAGAGAAGCTTGGGATTGGGGGAAAACCTGAAGCAGAAGGTTTCAGAGTTTGGCATCCCTAAAACCTAGCCAAGTTGTTGTTCATGTGGTTGGCATAAACACGTTTTACCATTGCTCTGTACAAATACCTCATCTTAAATAAATTTTTTTAAAAAAGGGATAATAACAGAAAAGGTGGAAAGTTCAGAAAATTATTCACTGTGCTTTTAAGATTTGGGGAGGTATTTAATGCCAACCCAGAAGTGTTTCTTGGTACACACTCATCGTTGGCACCATCTCATACATCTGCCTCATTTCATGCTTTTTGTCCCCAGGGACAGTGATTCCTCCCATTGTAGTTCTACAAATCCACCTGTTCTTCTCTGGTACATGTTCTAAATCTTTCCTTTCTCTTCAACTGTCCCTTGATTTTCATCCCCATAGGAATTGCCAGTGACTAAAAGAATTGTTGTTACATAAATTTTTTTCAGAAGCCCATTTATAAAATATATAAAAAGCACAACTCTGCCTGAAGCATTGAAGGGGATGAGGGGTTCAGCTGAATCAGCCTAACTATGAAGGGCACTCAGGATGGTTCAGAAACCGCTCCATGACAGTTTGTTGAGATGAAATGCCTTTAGTAACACACAGATTTGGGACCAGCAGTTGGCATAATGACCATGTCACTGGACTCCCATGTAGTCGACTGCAGTTCAAGTCCTAGACTAGGTGGCTTAAACTCACGCCGGGCGCGTGTGCATGGGTGCCCAAGATCCCGAGAGGAGAAAGGAGGAGAAGGGATTGCAGCATGGCCATCCCCTGGAGGGGGAGGGGTGATTTCTCGCTTTCTGTCTCTCTGTCTCTGTCTTTCTGGCGAGCACACACGCCCTATAGCAAAAAATAAATAAATAAATAAATAAATACACAGATTCACTTTTACAGGGTGTTTTGAGTGTCAAATATGCAGTGGTTTTTCAATCAATACAACTTTTAGAAATAATTTGCAGGAAACTCTCCTTATAAGCACGAGACCAGTAAAGCAGCTGCTGGAATGATACTAATAAATATGGAGTCTCCCACCGGCCAGTAGCCCTGAAAGGGATGAAGGCGGTCACTATTCAATCCGTTCTGAAGGTGGAGCTCCGAGAATTTCATGAGGGATGGGATGTGGGATTTGAAAGAAAGTAGTTGTGGGTGTTTCCAGGATTGTCGGCTTGACTAGGAGGAGGATGTGGAAACAGCTGATTTGTACAGGAGGTTTAGAACTTTACTTCCAGAATATTATGACTAAAATTAAGATGCATATAAGACATTCAAGAGGAATTACAAATAGGCAGGTGGATATATGAGTATGGGATTCAAGAGAGAGAAAGACAGAAGAGGTCTAGGCTGCAGTTATAAATTTTGGAGTCATTAGCATATAGATGGTTTTTATAATAAGGCCATGAGACTGGATAAAGTCATTAATGGGATGAAGTAAGACAGAAAGAGGTCTGAAGACTGAGTTCTTAGTGTGCCAGTGTTAAGGAATTGGGAGTAATATGTCGGGGACAGCCCGAGAGCCTGAAAATTGAAAGAAAATGAGTAGAATGTGGAGTTATAGAAGCCAAATGAAAAGAGTGTTCAAAAGAGAGAAACCTGATGTTTCAAATGCAGCGTATAGGTCAAGAGAATGAGGACTAGAAAATGAACGCTGAGCTTGGTAACCGGAAGTCAAGTGAACTTGCTGGATGTAGCTTCAGAGGAATGGGGGAAAACATTTGAGTGAGTTCAGAAGAGAGCTAGAAGAGGAGATTTGAGGGTTCAGGTTCAGACAACACTTGAAACATTTTTCCCACAGGCCGTAATCCTTCCAGATGGACGTTGAAGGGAGAAGAGGGCCAGAGTGTTATTTTACTTTGTTTTAAAATATATTTATGTTTTAAATGTCTGTTTGAGAGATTTAAAATATATTTATGTTTTTAATGTCTGTTTGAAGGAGAGAGAGAGAGAGAGAGAGGAGAGAGGGAGAGAGAAAATACCCCCAATGGAGCTTGGTCACACCACAATCCTTGCTGCTCCATTTCTTCATCCTGTTAGGATCCTGGGCACATATGTGTCTGCCTGGTGTGCTTTTCAAGTCAACAGGGCTGGGATTCTAAACACGCTCAGCCATGTGGGATCTGTCTCCCCTGCACAGCACTTACATGCTGGGCTACAGGACTGGTCCAATTTGTTTTAAATTGGAAGAAGTATACCAAATGTATATTCGTGGAGGAATCGTGTAGTAGAGAGGAGATGCTGATAATGCAGAAAAGAGAATTTCTGGGTCCATGGCTTTGAGTACAGATGAAGATACAGAATATAACCCACCCATGAAGGTCGATGCCTTGATAACACACATTTGTCACAGAGGGGAAGCAGAGTAAATAGGAAGTGGTTGGAAAGAGGTGGATAAATAAATGCTGGTGCCCTGTGGGAATTATTTTCTGGTTGTTCAAACGAGAACAAGAATGGGAACAGCAATCAGGAAAGTGAGAAGAGAGACTCTGAAATCCTCTGGGAGACTGGGGTAAGGTTGGAGGAGAGCGCTTCTGGGAATCTAGCGTGATTGTGAGCACCTCGTGGGAGCAGGTTTACACTTTAGACAGAGCAGTCAGCACGGTGGTGCATTTTTTTTGAACAGCCTTCTACTACGCAAGTGTAGGTACAGGTAGTGAAAATTAAAACGACTTTCACAAATGACCATGCATTCTGGTTAAGAAGAAGAAAATGTTCCTACCATCAAATATCTACCCTTCTGAATGAGAAAGGACTTCAACAGCTCTTTGAAATGAGAGACTTTCCTTGGCAGTGCACTGCTGAGGAGTAGGGACAAGAAATGCATTTGCTTGTGTTGGATTTTTAATTCTCAGGATACTGATGATTTAGGAGATGTCCCATTCAGATTGTAAATTTAATAAATGTAAATATTTTAGACAAATGAATAAAAAGAGTAAAGGAAATGTCTGATACTTGTCATAACTGCCCCTATAGAAAAGTGTTCATAAAATAGAACTGCAGTATTTTATGTACTGATATGTTTATTAAGAATTATTTTATTTAATTTTATTAATCATCATTATTTTAATTTGATGAGAGAGAAACAGAGTAAGAGAAAGAGAGAGAATGTGAGAGAGTAAACCACCAGGTCTGGGACTTGAACCACAGTCAGCCATGTGGGAGTCTGGAGCACTTAACCACCACACCACCTACTGGCCCCTGTACTGAGTTTTTAAAAAATTATACTGACATGCATAGATACAAATCAATTTGTGGATCTTTAGCAAAAAAAAAAAAAAAATACACATAGAAGATTTTATACTTTTTCAGCCTGAAGCATTTTATATATAAAATTGATATTCTAGCAGAAACTGGAGAAATGTGAAGAGTGTAACTTTTAAAATTTTTATTTTATTCATTCATTTATTTTAATTTGATCAGAGAGAGACAGAGAGAGAAAGAGACAGAGAGAGGGAGAGAGGGAAAGTGAGAATGCAAGCCACCAGGTCCTGGACTCGAATTGTGGTCGGCCATATGGGAGTACAACACCTAAACCACCATGCCAAAGAATGTATTTTCAATTTTGTGACACAAAATACATTCATAAAGTTACTGAAACTTTTTTAGCTTGTAAATGGATTACTACTGTATAGAAAAAAAGTGAAAGAAAAACATGATGCTTTTCCCAAGGTATGTCAAATATCTTCTTTAAAAAACAGATTTTAAGTAAAGAATTTCACAATAACTTGTTCCCTGAAGCCATAAAGAATATGAATGCATTCACAATAGCTTAAGCAAACAGCAATATCTCAGTTTTCGAAATATCATTCGCACTTTTCTGTTTTGAGAAAAGGAGAAATACAAGTTACGGGTTTAGAAAACTTTCATTTTTATCAGCTCATGAAGTTAAAAATTCATTGTGCTGTCTCTGCACTTTGTAGACACCCTGAGCAAAACTGTCGAACCAATAAATGAATACACAATATGATATGATATTCTTTCTCTTTTCAATGAGAAGTTATAAAACATTTGCTTTGAAATTTTAAAAAAAAATCTATTCTTTCTTGTCATAAATAAGAAAGAAATCCTTATCTTCACTTCCAAGGAGTTTTATTTGAGCAAAAATTAAGCAAGAATTAGATATCTTTTCTTCATTCCCTCCTCTCTTATATAATAGTTCTGAACTACAATAGAGAAGTGAGAAAACAAACACAGAGAACATGTTGCACAAATACCATTTCAGTAAAACCCAAACTAGATGCAAACGATTCAAGAAATGATGGGACAGAAGGCAGCAAACTTTTCAGGAATACTATGGGTCTTTATTCTATCATTTATGTTTCAGTAGTCAAGGCTCAGTTATACCAGTGTAGACAACTCCCTGGAAACAGTGTTCAGAGTTACTGCAGCTTAGCACAGGAATTGCTTTGATGAGCTCTAAGAGAATGGTAACAATACCTCCTAAAGGGCCAGGTTGCTAGGTAACAGTTTCCTTGGTCACAGTGAATCCATGGAAGACCCCCAAAGAAGCTGAAGGTTCTTGGTGAACAGCTCTCCGAACCACTCCTAGGGATATGATGAAAAAATGTCTTCAGAAATATAGCTGTATGAAGGTGAGAGGAACTTTTTGCACCGGCAAGACATGTCTGAAAGGTAGGAAAATGAAATTAAAAGTAACCTTAGTCATTACTTGAGAGGGGAAAAAAAAGAGGTAGGTAGTGTTACCAGATTGAATTTCATTTAAAGATGTAAAGTCATACAATCTGCACTATTGATGAGGTTATTTTGAGGGAGAAGCAAACTCAATTGCCACCTTCTCTTCTAATACCTGCAACTGGTCAAAAATGCAATGTATGATCTGTGATCAATGTAACAGAGAGTGGGGACTCGCCCTTTTAAAAATGGTATTTCAAGGTCATCCAGGGCTCTTTGAGAAAGCATATTTGAATTCCAGGGAAAAGCATTTATGGTAGCTAAGAGGAAACATATATTAACTAGCTAAGTGTCAATGAAATTATTACCACAAAAATGAGACTTGTACTAGCTCATTAAAGTCACAAAGCAGATGAAATTAAGAGGCCAAAACCAATTCTTTTATTCTCACTCCTAAATTCTGTAGCTGTCTCATATGTATTTCTCAAAAGATACTGATAATTCAACAATGAGCATGGCTCATGAAAGTGTAAGGAACATATTTATAAATGTCACTGACTTCCTAAGGGTTGAGGAATCATGCTTGGATAGGAACTAGAGGCAGAAGGGGTGGTAGAACTTCTATTCTTGTTAGCTGAATATGCACATTAGAAGCAGAGTCAAGACCCAGTGTTCTTCAAAGTTATTTCTAAATGTCTTATAATTTGGAGTAACTGCATGTGAAACAAAAATTTTTAAATGGGTAGAAATTCTGTACAGAATTATAGCCTTCATTTTCCCCCACTTGCTAAAGCCTTTCTATGCCATACCAAAAGGAGGTTTATCTGTGAAATCTATGTCAAAGGATCTTTACTATCTCTCGGTATTGTTATTTTCCAATCACAAGTAAGTCTTCCTAAAATGATTTTAGAGACAGTGTAAGAAGTGATACTCAAGATACAACTTAAATTTCAATCTTCAAATTTAGAAAGGGATAGGAAGGGAAGAGGGCAGGAATGAAGAAATAGAGGGAGGAAAAAAAGAAATAGAGGGAAGAAAAAAAGGAAAAGAAAAGGAAATCTTAGTGCTGGTAGTTTTTTTCAATATCATGTTTGTACACCATGAAACAAGAATTCTATCTGTACCAACTTCCTAAAAATTTCACGTGGAATTTTACAGTTTTATCTCTGTTCACAAGCTCTATCTTAATCACATATTATTCTTAAGTGTCTTGAAGTATTGTATATGGTTCTATTTTTATATTGTAAAAAAATAGGGAATGGATGATGTTTCTCAAGTATTGAAAACCTTATCAGCATTTGCCCAATATGCTGTTACGGTAAACTTCTAAAAAATTATAAATATTATTTTGTAGAGGGAACCTAAACATATTTCAGTCCTACCTTCTTGGTTTCTGGTATCAAGTAGATCCGCTTCTACAAATGTCAGTGTATCCACTACTAGCTATGGAGGTTATAAGCTTTCTCCCTAGAGACATTTTACAGATGTTTGTTCTTTTACTTTTGTTGTACCTTAACTTAGAGGTCTATTGATATTCATAAGAATGTACATGACGCTAGAAAAAATAGGGACGTGTAAAATTTATAAGAATAAAAATTAAATCAGGTAAAATTAAATATGACCCATTCAGATAGAAGTAGAGGGAAAAAATGAAGTTGTGTACTCTTCAAGCTTAAAATTTATTGTTGTACTGTTTTAGAATCCACAATCTAAATACTTGAAGATATATCTGTTGAAATGCTAGGCTTTGAGATAACTGAAATGTTTTGGGAATATCTGTAATACACATGGCTTTTCAGAAGAGTTCTTTCATAAACTATTATTTACTCAATTTATGGACTTACTTCCAGGAACTTAATTTAGACCTATAAGAAAGTAGTAATCATCTTCAAATTTTATAACTTGGTGTACATAATTCACCACTTTAGAAATTAACTTTATATCAAATTTTCCCCAATTTTATGAGACCTTCATTGAAAATACTTTCTATTATCTCATTCTCATTTTTAGCATGTAGATAGCACAACCATTACCCATTTTACAAATGAATAAGATACTGGCATAAAGAGGACAAGAATTAAGGTTTTAAACGTAAGAAAAGAATGACCCAAGACATAAAAAAGACTGAATTTTTATCCTTGTCATATAACTATAATGCTCTAGAGTTCCAGCAACTTTCTTGTAGTTCCTACTTTAGAAGTGTCTGGTTTTAGCAAGATCCCACTGGATTCAAAAACCTAGCCCAATTCTTTTGGGGGGGATTTGGAGGATTTGGAAAGAGTTTTCTTTGTTAACTGAAAATAAGATTGGACTTTTTTTGTTTCCTTTCTTCTTAAATACAAAGCTCTCAGGATGAAACGATGAATATACAGGGGGTCTTCAAAAAGTTTTTGGAAATTGTAGATTGTGATAAAACTGCATGGATATAAAAAAAATTTGGACTCAAATAAACTTGCAACTAAATTCTGTTTTCCCATGAACTTCTGAAGTCCCCTTGCAAATGGCATGTTTAAAAATTAAGTCCCATTAAATACTATATTGATGACTCTGTGTGGCTGGCGTAGGGGGGCTCCCTGGTCTTCTGTACTGTGTGAGCCCAGCACAGCTTCATTCAACTCCAGAACTCAGCTTTATTTCAGAAACTAGGCCATCTGCCACTTCCTCCTTCACTCGCCTTACAAAGTTACATAATCACCAACTTGACATTTTAATTAAACAGATAGCACCCGTTGCCGCAGACAATTTATGAGGCTTATAAATTCGTGATTGTAAAGGACATTGCAATCTTCAGATGAAAGGGGCTCATGAATTGATAAGTTATGTTATTGTTGTTTTTCACCCAGCAGTCTCAGCACACCTGATTCCTTCTTGTTAGCCATTTCACACCTTTTACAACCAAGAATAGATGGCCAATTCAGATAAGGCCACCTATTTTAAAGACACTATTAATCATGGCTGACAAATACTGTACAGGTTTTGCTGTGGCACCTTCTCCATGGCAGCTTTAGATTAGAACATTAATAAAATTAATTCCTCTTTCATAAGGGCTTAGATTTGAAATTTACGATAACTGCTTGTTCACCGCAAGCTGAAAGATTAAAAATGAGTAAACCAATATACCAACGAAACTGCGTATGTCTGGTTTTATTTTCTTTGGAGTAGGAGAGGGTTTTTAAAAGCTGCTTGATGTTAGCTAGCATGGTGTTCTTATAGGTTCTATTACTGAAGGCTTAACTTTTGTCCTCAGTAAATAATAATTGTTCCAATTGACATTTTTACTTAATTTATTTATTTCAGGTGAGAGAAAGAGAGAGGTAAACAGACAAGGACCCCCACAGGATCCTGCCATGCCTCACTACAAGTCCCTTCCACCTTCAGCCAGTCAGGGTCACAGGCGTGCCCACAAGCACTCTTGGTGTGTTTAGGTTGACCAGGGAACCGAACCCAGGGACTTCCCTTATAGCTCCAACATCGTGCATCAGTCCTTACTACCTATACCACCATGGCTGAGCCAAAATTTACATGTCCTTTTAGCTAGTGCAGTTACTCATATGAGGTTATGTGGAGCAATCAGGAAAAGAAAACAATGAAATGATTTTCCTTAACATTCATTGCACCTTAATAATTATAGAATGCTATGGTCATTTAAATTATTACAGTAGCTTATCTGAAATGTATTTGAATCTTAGCGGTCAAGAACACTGTCATTTACTAATGTGACTTGGACAAGTTACCCTATGTCTCTGTGCCTCAATTTCCTTTCTTTTCTTTTTTCTTTTCTTTTCTTTTCTTTTTTTTTTTTTTTTATGAGAGTTTTGCTATAGGGCATGTGCACTCCATGGAGAGACAGAGAGACAGAAAGCAAGAAATTACTCCCTAAGAGGGGATGACCACACCATAATCCCTTCTTCTCCATTCCTCCTCTCAGGATTTTGGGCACACATGCACATGATCCTGGTGTGAATTTTAAGCCGTTGTGTCCAGGACTCAAACCATGGTCAACTATGTGGGAGTCCAGTGACATACTCATTACGCTCTCTGGTGTTCCCTGTGCCTCAATTTCTTCATCTATAAAATTGAAATTAATGCTACCCACTTTATTAGACGATTAAAACAATTAAATGAGTTAATCCACATAAAGTTTCCTACAGTGTCTAGTGCATGGCAAGTGTTCATAAATTTTAAAATCATCACTTTAGCAATAGTAGTAGTTATCCTCACAGTGTAATGCTACAAAACTAAAGGCCCTATACTCGGGAACTGCCGCTATCTGAATACTAAAGACAAGGAACTGACAACCAAAGATGTTACACCTTGTCCAGGGTGGACTGCAAACACTTGCAGATCTTATTTTGACATCAGTGTTGTGCACATGAAGGCAGGTGGAGGGTGGAGCAGGCGTTTGGGCTAGTGATATAACCTGGAGGATGCCCTGTGTTTCTCTTCTAAAGGAAGCTAAAGGAACAGAAATAATCTTGTTACACTGAGATTTCTCCAAAAAAGCACAGCAAAGAAAAATTTTGTATGGGATTTATGATAGAAGTAACAGAACAAACAAGATTTTAGGAATGTCTCCACAGTTCTTGCCATCAGGTCCTGGTGCCTTATCAATGGACCCTGCTGTGTTACCTAGAGTCTGAAAAGATTGTGAGAGAAAGAATCAAGGTGTTGGGGCCTCCAGAGAGATTTCACACTCAAAGACAATCAGGCTAGTCATCTACGGGTTGGAATCTTTAGTCTTCTAAGGCTTCTTAGTCTTCTCTTAACCATTCTTCTACTCCTGAAAAGAAAAAGATAGACAGAGGTGGGAGAGGGTCTACTTATTTCTATTGCCAAGTTTTAGTTACTTTTCATTATTAATGAATGTCTGGTAGGTATTGAGATAATGTCTAAAGAGTTCTTCTAGATTAAATAAAAAAAAATAAAAATACTAATGTAAACTACAATGAGATCATTTTATTTTAAGTAATTTCACCTTGTAGCTATTTTTTGGCAACACTATGCAAGAATAGAATACACCCAAAAGATTGGATCTTTCTTATCAGGTCTTTTATACAAACACTTTCTTCTCTGTGCCTTACTTTAAAGAAATTATATATACAAAATAAGATCATTCTTATTCTTTAGGCTAAAAATTAAGAGAGAAGGAGACTTTCAGGTTACTTATTCATCCAGTCCCTTACTCTGTAGGTATTACTGTGTTTTAGAGTCAAAGACAACAGTCACTGAAGAAAAATTTGGCAATGTTCATTTTCCTTGTAGTCCTGACTTGATTTTGGTTAAAAAAAAAAAAAAAGGACCCAAAAAGTCACTCCCTGTTTATCCCCAGGTGAATTATTCTATTTCTATTTCACCATCATTTTTTTTTTGTAATTGTTGAACAAAACTCTAGCTACAGCTAGCAGAATTTACCTGGTTTAGGAATAATAAAATTCAGAAATGTAATATTATTCTTCTCATGGTCATTAATTTGTTTTTATGAGAAGAGACTGGTAATTTAAATAAACAATATCTGAGCTATTAAAGAATTGCTCAAATGAGAAAGATATAAGACTCACTTATTTTCTTACTTTTTCTCTCAATGAAGACCTAATCATAATTTTTTTAAATTTAGTGACAGACCGAAAAAATAATTTTCTCTTGGTTAATAGACCATCATTCTATTTTTTTAATGGCATAGTAATGCTATTGTAGAATATGACACTATTTCTAGAATACAATGGTTTTTTAGAATACATAATGGCTATGCTTTGCTATTGTACAAGCTAGAGTTAATAAGTAAAAAGTAAGAGATTTCTGTGTTGTATTTCACGAGGCAACTTCACTGTCTAAGCAAGGTGTAGTTTCCTATAAGCAAAATCACTATAGAGGCAAGATAACTGTGCTTAAAATAGAAAATCCTTACCCTGAACATTCTTGGAGTCTACAAAATTATTTATCAAGAGACAAAAGAGATCAGAAATACAGAGAAGTCTGATTTCTAGTTTTACTTAACATAAAAAAAAATTAGATATTGTTTTTAAATGATGGCTTATAGTAATACACGGTGTCAATCACAGAAAGAAAAACATAACTATTGCTGAGGAGAAAGGTCAAAGTATAAGAACAACTATGAATATAAACCAGAAAGTTAGTATTGGAGAACAGAAAAGATATTTTATATCCTAGTGGTATAAAAATTGGTATGTGGACAGAATTGGACCATAGTTACAGGAGATGGTTAGGTAGCATTTCAAAGTAAGTAAAACTGAGTGAAGAACCTGACATTTTTATTTGTTTGCCTCTAATTTGAGGAAATATAAGAGATTAGGGGAGACCAGGAGAGTTTAAGAATGCTGATATGTGCCGACTCTGCATCTTTAACTCCACCCAGAATAATTTTCTAGTATGAGGCTCAAACTCCTTAGTATTTTATGTGTGTCTGTGTCTGTGAGCATGCACTTGTGTATACTATTAGACGTCTTTTTCTAAGACACACAGTGTTTATTTGTAATCCACATGTGTGTTCCCTTTACCTTTGGTGAAAATCTGTCTTTAGGTAGATGATGAGCCACAAAATTGGCTCTGATCTACGACAAGTTGTAAAAGTCCTTCAAAGATGTACATCAAATCATAGGATGTCATTTCTCTCTCCTACAAGTGGAAGAGTTTGTGCTTAAAATGTTTAGTTTTAAACAAAGATGTTTACATTTACATTTAAAGACTTTAAAATAAATATATAAACACTTCAAGCATTTTCTTTCATCTAGTTCTTCAGGTCAAAACACAAGTAGCCAAGACACTTATCCATCTAATTCATCATACTACTCCGATCCCAGTGGGACTCACACTTGGTCGGCTTTGTCAAGAAACAGAAGAACAAGTCGTCTAGGTTTGGACTCTGGAATATCATCCACAGTAAGTATTTTTAACTAGCCTTTTATTTAGAAAACATACTTTATCCTATTCTTAACATTTTTGATACACATATAACCTATCAAACCTACCTTTACAATTTTTGGGGGGTAGGTGGGAAGATGAAAGGTTGATACTTTCAGCCTCAACCCAGAAAGGAAGAAGAAAGAGCCAGGGGCCAGCAGGTGGCATGGTGGTTAAGGATGCTGGACTCCCACATGTCTGACCATGGTTCAAGTCCTGGACCTGTCAGCTTGCTTTCTCACTTTTTCTCTCTTTACCTTTCTCACACTGCCCCTCTCTGGTCAAATTTAAATAAATAAAGTTAAATAAAAAAATTCTTTTAAAAATGACTACAAAAACCAAAATGGCATCCCTTCTTAATTTAGTCTATGGTCTAAGATTTATTTCTTCTTCTTTTTTTAGTGTAATGTCCTTGTCCACAGATAAAATTTTCTTAGCCCTAACTTGCAACTTATCCTCCTCCTTCTTATTTTTCTTCTCCTTGTTTTCCTTCTTCTTCATTTTAACGTTGTCAGGGAGCACATGTGCTCACTGGAGACAGACATAGAGAGGGAGGAAGAAAGAAAGCACTCCTCATGGGGAACGGTCACACTGCAATCCCTTCTCCATTTCTCCCTCCTTTTTGAATTTTGGGCATGCATTCACTCATGCCTGGCATGTTTCTCATGCCACTGGCTATGAGACTTGAACTACATGGTCAACCATGTGAGATCCAATCACCTTAGGCACTGCACCGTGGAGTGGCCCCAAATTCACAGCTTCTAAGAAATTTTCTCTAACTCATCTAAGTGGAATCATATGCATTTTTCTTCTTTATTTCATTTAAAATTGCTCCATTTATCCCACTGTGTTAAGATGAGTTATTTATATATCTGCCTTCTAAGCACAATCGCCATATTTTATTCAACTCAGTGTCCCTATGCCTGATAAAGTACCTGACTTAAAACAGTGGTTCAATATGTATCATTAAATAAATAAATGAAATGAAACAAAGCATACTACCTTCAAAAAGCATTTGTTGAACCAATAGATTTAATCAGCTGGTTCATCAGAATTAAAAAGGGAGAAAAAAATAGAAAAAGACATATTTACTAAAGAAATACTTACTATTTCTTCAGGAAGAAATGAAAGTCACATAATTGCACACAGTTTACAGCCTTACATAGTTTAAAGGCATGCAACAATTCATTTTCCTACATCAGAAGTTCTAAAATCTGGAACTAGCAAATAATGTAGTGGTTACATCCTTGGACTCCCACATGATGACAGTGGTTTGAGCCTCGCATCTGGCAGCTTGAAACTCAAGTCAGATGCGTTTGTGTGCTTTCCTAAAAATCCCAAGAGGAGACTGGAGGAGAAGGGATTGTGGTATGACCATCCCCCCCCAAGGGGTTGATTTCTCGTTTTCTGTCTCTGTCTCTCTCCATCTCTCCAGGGAGTACACACACCTTATTGCAAAAATCTCTTAAAAAAATGTTACAGAATCAACCACATAACTTCTTTAAAAACAAACAGATTTTAGTACAAAATCAGGTGTCAAGTGAAAATACTGCTAGCTTTGGTTTGGATTTTTTTCTCTAGCACAAGCTTCATAAAATATCACACAGCGGCAATAAGGTATAGCAGTCCTAGGAATTCAACTTCCCAGTATTTGTTATTCTAAGATAGAAGCAAGAAAAGAAAAATTACAAAGCCACACAACATGTTGGGAAACAAATTTCCATAAACATGTAGACTAAATAAATGAGAATAGGTTATATTATTTAATAATCTAAAATGTATTTTTTAGAAGAGATGAATTAATCCCTTGCAAGCATATTAGTAAGTCTTCAGAATAACTCTAATAATTGTTCCATCATTAACTTTTTAGTGCTATTGCTAGTAAGGTAGAGAGCTTTTGTAACTAGTTCTATTTTTATTTTATGTTACTGATTTTTTTAGAAATGTTTGCCTTAGGACATGTGCTCACATCTGGAGAGGGAAGAGAGACAGAGACCAAAAAAGTGAGAAATCACCACACAGGGGAAACGGTCACACTGCAATTCCTTCTCCTCTATTCTTCTCCCAGGAACTTGGACACCGAACCACAGTTGGCCATGTGGGAGTCCAGCAACATAACCACTAGGCCATCTGCTGGCCCCACTAATTCTATATTTAAATAAAGATATGAGGATATTACCTGGAGCAATCAAGGTCTTTGAATGAATAAATAATAAAAGCTAAAATATCCAAGTTAAATGATTATGAAAAAGTCACCTCTTCCTTATTTATTTATTTAGGAGAGGTTTTTGCTTTAGGGTGCATGCACTCGCCAGACAGACAGAGAGAGACGGACAGACAGAAAGCGAGAAATCACACCCCTGGGGGGATGACCACTCTGCAATCCCTTCTCCTCCGTTCTTCTCTCGGGATCTTGGGCATGCACGCACATGTGCCCGGTGTGAGTTTTAAGCCACTGGGTCTGGGAACCAAACTATGGTCGGCTACATGGGAGTCCAGCAACATAGCCATTACTCCAACTGCTGGTCCCTGCCAATTTATTTTGAGGTATCTTTTTCCAGACTTACTCCACAGAATGCACTTAGCCCAGTGCACTGCTCCAAGAATAAAAGAGTCTGTGTTTAAAATCTGGCGAGGGCCAACCTCTTAAGAGAGCTGGATCCCTTGTTGCCAACTACATGGTTCAAACGCCAGACCCAGCAGCTTGTTGATGTGCACGTGTGCCCAAAACCCTGAGAGGAGGGAGAAATAGTGAAGAGACTATGTCGTGACCATGTCCCATGGGGAAACTTTCTCCCTCTTCCCCTGTGTCTCTCTCTCTGTCTTCTCCCTGGTGACTACACTAGCTCTATAGCAACTCCCCCCCAAAAAAGTCTGGGGAAATACACTGCATAGACTGACAATGTATATTAATATAGTAAAGGTTCTTTAGAGCCTTATAGTAAAGAGAAATCTTGATTTAATACAGAGCCTCATCAACGTATTTGATGATGAAAATTTGTGTGTGTGTGTGTGTGTGTGTGTGTGTGTGTATGTGTGTGTGTGTATATGTGTAATAGCTACAAAAATTTATAGCTTAAGCAAAGCATATACTATGTGAATGCAGCTGTATGAGATGAATGCAATTTAATGCTTAATGATATTTCTTTTTATTTTTAGACAGGTTTTTGCTATAGGCTGCGTGCACTAGCCAGAAAGACAGAGACAAAGAGACAGGAAGTGAGAAATAACCCCCCACCCTGGGGGGATGGCCACGTCGCAAACCCTTCTCCTCCATTCCCCTCTAAGGATCTTGTGCACACACACGCACACGCATCCAGCGTGAGTTTAAGCCACCAGGTCCAGGATTCGAACGGCTGTTGATTACATGGAAGTTCAGTGATACAGCCATTATGCCAACTGCTGATCTCTGTTAATGATATTTCTTTAAACCAACTATTTATTCTAGGTTTGTTTGTTTGTATATGTGTATAACACTGGCTAAGAAAAGAATGACTCTATGATGCCTATATCTACTATACTATTTTCAATAATACTCTTTTCAAGTAATATGCCCTTTGTTTGTGTTAACCTTGGAAACCTTAAGTTGCATAAGCAATATAAAATACTAAAAATTTGATTAACTCTAACTTCAATATTAGTTAACAGTATAAAATTGTCCCATATATTATCTGGACACATGTTCTAGTCCATAACAAATTGTCCAGAACAAGGAAAAGGACCAGACACAAAATATTTTATTGAATGCTGGCTACATATCTTCAAGAACAATGCCAATAAACTGGAGCTCTTCCCAAGGAAAACTACCAGGATAGTTCATACTTTATAAGACATGATCTGTGAGTAATGATTGATGGGCTTAGGAAAAAGATGACAAGTGTTACCAAACATTTAAAATAGCATAACACGAAGAGGGATTCTTTTGTGTACGCTCAAAAGAGCAGACCTTATGCAACTGGAGCAAATTTAGACAGATTATGGAAAGAAAATACTGAAAAGATCTTAACGATGAGAACTGTTCTAAAATGCATTGATACTGTACATGAGATATTCAGTAAACATTGAGGATACTTTATCAGAGCAGATGTAAAATGATTCATGAAAGAGTGCATACATTTATTCATGCTGTTATTTACCATCAAACATAAATCAGTTGCAGGTGCTGGGCTGTAGGATGAGTTAGGAACACATCATTTTGATTGGACTAAGATGACTTTAGGAGCCCACCATTAGGTATCTGTAGTCCAGTTTGACTGAAGTTTGGCACGGACTTGTTCTATGTGTACATATAGAGGTGAATTAATTATGTATTACTAGATGATCTTTTTTCTCCTCTCTCATTTCACAGCTTCCATCAGATTCTTGTAAATACCTCACTTGGCACAAGGTAGAAAAACATGATGTTCAAGGAAGTCAACTGCGTTGCCCAAGAGTAAGAGAAGGTGAAAGAAAAATGTTCATATTCCTTGTGTGCATGATCTGAGTCATCTTTTTGTAGATGAAAGGACATTATTTTAAAAACAAGACCTTACTTAGAGGTAGCAGAGATTCCTTTTCAAGACCACATGAGTATTGATATAATTAAGCCACAATAAAAGCATATTCTTATATCTGATTATATAAATAATGATTAATTTTAAATATTGGGAAAGCCCTAATTCAACTACCTATAAATAAGTACTGTGACTTTCATTTCCATTTAATCTTTTGCTGTAAAGTTTTGTTTTCTTCAACTTTTTTGTTTAACATGATATTATGGGCATTTTTTTTCCATGTCATTAAACATTGTCCCAAATACACTTTTTTTTTAGAGAGAGAGATTTTTGCTATAAGGCACATGCACTCACTGGAGAGACAAGAGAGACAGAGAGACAGAAAGTGAGAAATCACACACACCCCACACCCCCCCACACACCCCCGCCGAGGGCATGGCCATGCTGCAATCCCTTCTCCTCCATTTTCCTCTTGGGATTTTGGGCATGTGCACATACATGCGCCTGGTGTGAGTTTTAAGCTGCTGGGTCCAGGATCAAACCCGGTTGACTATGTGGGAGTCAGGCGATGTTATCATTATGCCATCTGATGGTCCTACAAAGTACACTTTTTAACGGTTGCCATAGTTTCGATCATCTAGATATTATTGAGTGTATTTAAATAAGAATCCTTGCTGAAAATTTACTTACTATTTTTCAGGATTGTGAAGAGGTGACTTCAAGTTCATTTAATTCTATGTTGGTTTTAAAAAAAGACATCAGAAGAAAATCTAAACGTACTAAGGTTCCCCAGAAACAGAACCAATGGTGTGTGTGTGTGTGTGTGTGTGTGTGTAGAAAGCCAGGGAGACAGAGATAAGAGAGGTTTATTATGGGAACCAACCTGTGCAACTATAAAGGCTGAGAAGTTTGTATGCTGTCTGTAAGCTGGAGAAACAGGGAAGGTAGTGGTATACTTTAGCATGGGTCCAAAGGCCTGAGTACCAGAGGAACCAATGGTATAACTCTTAGTTTGAAGCCAAAGTGTACAGTGTGAGGTTGGGAGATAAGCCCTGTTGTAAATGCTGAAGTTCAAAGAACTAAAACCTGGAGTCCTAATACCCAAGGGCATGAGAAAATAGATGCTCTGGATCTAAATGAGAGATAACGTACTCTTCCTCGACTTTTGTTCTATCTAGGTCTTTCATGGGTTGGCTGAAGGGCCATTGGCTGAATTGGCCTATCCACATTATATGAGGGCAAATCCCTTTTCTCTAATGATGCAAATGATAATCTCTTTTGGAAACATCCTCTCAGGGTTACCCCAAATAATGTGTTGTCAGCTGTCGGATTATCCTTTAATCAATCAGGTTGACAAAAATGAATCATCACACTAAATATATTTTATTTATTTTTTAAAAATACTTATTTAATTATATTCATTATTATTTCTTTTCATGCTCATCAGTGAGAGACAGAAAGAGAGAGAAAGTGAGTAAACAAGACACCAGGTCTGGGACTCAAACCATGGTTGGCCATGTGGGAGTCCAGGACCTTAACCACTATGCCACCTGCTGGCCCCAGCTAAATGTGTTTTATAAAGACTAAAACTTACTGATGACCATCTTCCCCCTTATACTTGCAGACTTGCAGTAATATTATATGTTTTGCAATTGTAATGTTAACTTATAAAAAGTGGCTTTAGATGTATTCATCCGCCTATTTCCCCTCTCACTGCCATTATTTATTCACACAATGACTGTTTTCCTTCACTCAAACTCAGTGGACAGAGGAAGGGAGACTGAGATAGCATCATTTTCTTAAACTCTGAGTAAAATGTGTTCTTACACTTTCACTCTGTCAGGTCTATTTGCAGCTAAGCACTGATTCCTATCTTTCTGTAAATAATTTTTTATTTTATTTTATTTATTGTTATTTATTTATTTTGGAGAGGCTTTTGTTATAGGGTACATGTGCTCGCCAGAAAGACAGAGAGAGACAAAAACACAGAAAGAAATCACCCCCTAATGGGGATGACCATGCTGTAATTCCTTCTCCTCCATTCATCTTTCTCAGGATCTTGGGCATGCATGCACATGTGTCTGTTTAAGCCACCAGTCTGGGACTCGAACTGCAGTCAACTATATGGAAGTCCAGTGACATAGCCATTACACCAATTGCTGGCCCCGTTGTTGTTATTCTTTTAAGAGAGATTTCTTCTATAAGGCATGTGCACTCACCAGAGAGACAGAGACAGAGGGACAGAAAGTGAGAAATCACCCCCCTCTCCCCGCCGGAGGGATGGCCATGCTGCAATCCCTTCTCCTCCATTCTCCTCTCCAAATTTTGGGCAGGCACGCACATGCACCTGCCATGAGTTTTAAGTCACCAGGTCCGGGACTCAAACTGCGGTTGACTACGGTGGGAGCCCAGTGATGTAACCATTACACTATCTGCTGGTCTCTATTATTGCTAATTTTTAATTTGCTATAGAGCTTGTGCACTCAGTGAGAGAGAGAGGGAGAGAGAGAGAGAGAGAAAGTGAGAATGGAAGCTGCCAAGTTTGGGACTTGAACCATGGTCAGCCATGTGGGAGCTCTTTGCCTCAACCACCACACTACCTGCTGGATCTGACAGCTATCTTTTTTATTTTAGTGGCTAGTACTCCTAGGGATAAATTAGAGTAGTTCTTTGGGGACTATACAGAGAATATTTTTAGAAAAGTGAGACATGGTGGGGAATTAAGAAGGAAGGAAGGAGATCCATGGGGATGGAGACCTAGTGCGTCACATGCACAGTGAGTTCACCAGAAACGAGGTTGAGCTCCGTCATGGGTGAGTGTGGGAGGACTGAAGTCGATCATCACCTTCAGTGTGCGGACCCAGCTCTGTGAGCTGTGGGGAAATGCTAATTCCCACGCCCTGCTCTAAAGATTATGATGAAATTAGTATAGAGTAGAGTCTTGAAATCTGCATGTATAAAAATTGTCCCAGGAAATACTTTTACAGATGGTGTGGGGCCAGACTTTGAGCAACTATGGTTTAGGATGTTTAGGGAGAAGGAAGGAAGGGAGATATTTGAGTCGAAAGTAAAATGATACATAAAGCAAGGATGCTGGCATGCTTGTGTCTTCTGGGGGGATGTTGATCGATGATCAGGGTAGTCATAATGAGGCAGAAATTGTCTTCTGAGCACAATGGAGGGTTGAGGTTCAGAGAGGGCTGTAGAACTGTGGAAATCGGAGGGATGATGACAAAAAGAGAATGTTAGAGTAAACTGAAAATGAGCAAGTGTGGAAGAGGTCCAGAGGTCTCCCTCCCTCCCTGATTTAAGAAGCCAGGTCAAGGCTGAGGTCCTCGTTCAGCAAAACCAATCCCATGTAATGACCACGGTGGCCATTCATGCAGAGGACGTCATGGCTCTGCAGAGATAAAGGCGCGTTTTCTTTCCATAGATCATTAACAACACCCAATTTCTCCTAAGTGACTAGTCGTAAAAGGAGCAAAGCATGATCTAGAAGACTGAAAAACACTAGGAAAACCCCATCACCTCAAGCCATGGAGAAAATAGATCTCCCTTCTTCCTTGCCCTTAATTTGGTTTAAGTTTGTTTTGTGAGATGGAGAACAAGCACTTTTCAAAAGCGTTTTGAAGGAGGGATAAGAATTACCCTCTTTCTATACATTAGATCCTAAAATACCCATTGAAACTACTTCCGTCCATCCCAGTTGTCCCAGTGGCACAGGAGGAATTCCTAAGAAAAGAAGAGTTTTCTGGTATGTGATAAACAGCAATTTCCTGAGGCTTTCATTGTCAGATAAAGCTTCTTCCAATTAAATGGAGCAAAAGAACAAATGGTTGGCAGAATTCTTTTAAAGAATAGATTCTTTCTGTTTGAAAATCGCCAGCAAGTAAACTCTGTGTCTGCTGTGACGAGTCACGAGTCCAGCAAGGGGACAAACAATAAGCTCAGAGGTACCAGGTGAAGCCAACATCCCTGGGCTGTCAGAGATTCCAGACTATGGCTCTTGCTGCAAAGATATATCTTCAATTACCAACCAGGCCTGAGTAGAAAAGAAAATCCAATTTAATGTAACTCCTCACAGTGGAAGTGACCTTTGGTCTCCAACTTCAAAGAAATCTTTGAAAGTTGCTTTAAAAAGAATAATTAAAAGAACAGAAGATCAATAGCACTCACACAAACAATACAGGGCAGAGTTTAATAACTCTGGGATAGCTAGTGCACCCTATACTACTGGAAGAGAGAATACCGTCAAATGTTGAGGTAGAGAAGGATTTAAAGGCCATAAAGCCTGAAGGTCTCCCTGGTCAATTAAGTGATTGCTCCAGTTTTCCACTTCTATAATTTATAATTGATTATTCTCATTAATGAAGAACATTTCTAACATGAAGATATTTTATTTGTAAATTGGCTGGAATACAACCATATTCAGGGATAAAGGATTTCCTGGGTGGCAACAGTGGAGTTCATCATGAAATGAATGCCTGAAAAGAGAGGAGACATCTCGGCCTCCCCCAGTACCTGGTGAAACAACGGATGATCATATCCAAGGAATGAGATTATTGGACTCTTTCTCTGCCTGCTTTCCACAAATCCTTCACATCGGACTCACTGTTTCCTGTCATAGTTCATACGAACACCCTATCAAAAATAAAAAGTTCATTCTTGACGTCTTGGGTATCCTTTTACTGTTTGCTCACCTCTGAAATGGAGTTGTGCTTTCCATAAACATGGAGTGGAGAAGTTCAGACAAAGGGTACCAGGTATGAGTCATAGAAATATAGTATGTTGGGACCAGCAGTTGGTGTAATGGTTGGGTCACTGGACTCCCATGAAGTCAACTGCAGTTTGAGACCCGGACCTGCCTCTTGGCATAAAACTCACATCAGGCACGTGTGCGTGCGTGCCCAAAATCCCAAGAACAGAATGGAGGAGAGGGGATAGTGATGTGGCCATTCCTCCTGAGGAGAGTGATTTCTCACTCTTTGTCTCACTGGTGAGTGAGCACATGCACCCTATAGCAAAAGTATCTCTATTAAAAAATAAAAGAAAGAAAGAAAGAGAAAGAAGGAAAGAAATGCAGTATGTTAAATTTTAAAGGCAACAGCAATATTTAGCGTAGGATTGTTTTCAGGGACCTGGCTGACAACATGGTGGAGTGAAGATCGCCTGAGTAGTGCAATAAAGCGTTGGGGCCTGTGGCAATGAGAAAGTGTATGTGCTTCTGAAATTCCTAGACATCAGTACTTCCACAATGCGCAAAGCCAAGTAAACATGTTTTCTTACCAAATTCAGCTCCTGTTGGGCTCTTGATTTAGGCCTTCCTGTATTTTTGCAGCAGTGTTCCCAAGCTGAGGACATTAGAATTTGTCATCTGGAGTCACACAATTACCTACCTCTCAACCTCAGACCAAGGTAGGGGAAAGCCTTGTTGACAAGCTAGGATTTATAGGCCATAGAAAACTTCTTAAATATTTTAAGCATGTGACTCCTTTGGTAAAAGCTGTATTTTGGGAAGGTGCTATGACAACTTGTGTTATTGACATTGGAGGAGAAATATTGCAGGCAGGGAGACCCCAGAGAAAGCAGTTATAATTTAGGTAGGACACGAGGATCTGGACTTTGAAAAGAAGGGGCAGATTCAAAAGAAAATAGCTGACGTTATGAGATGGCCAATTGAGTTGAGAGACAAAAGAGAAGGAAAATCAGGAGTGACTTCATAATCCCCAAAGACAGAATTATAATATATGGCTGTCAAAGTTATCCTGCTAATGGATTTCCTTACTTGTTTGGTCCCGGTATAATGTATGTAAGGTCGAAAGTTCATTTTACATGCTGACTTTATTAATAGAACTAACCTTTTTTTTCTTTTTCTAATTTTCATAGGGCATGAGTGTTCGAGAGAGAGAGAGAGAGAAAGAGAGAGCATCCCCCAATGGGGCAGAGTCATGTTGCAATCCCCTTTCCTCCATTTCTCTATCCTCTCTTCTAACACCCATGCACATGTATCCAGCGTGTTTTTTAAGTCACCAGGACCAGCATTCAAAATGTGGTCAGCCATGTGGCATCCAGCTCCCCACGCATAGCCCATAACCACTGTCCTGTGGGCTAGTCCTCCTCACTCCCTTGATTAACTAGAAAATCATCAAATTCTCCTTTAACCTCAAAGTGTGTGTGCCCAGAACTTAATCTAATAAAAATATACAAATCTTGGGGTCAGCACGTGGCATGGTGATGAAGGCACTGAACTCCCACATAGCTGACCATAGTTCAAGTCGGCTTGGAGGCTTGAAATCGCACTAGACACGTATGCATGCATACCCAAAATCTTGAGAGGAGAATGGAGGAGAAGGGATTATGGTGTGGCCATCGCTGGTGGGTGATTTCTCACTCTGCCTCTCATTGTCTCGCTTCCTCTCTTGTGAGCTCATGCATTCTATGGTATCTTTGAAAAAAAATACGTACCTTGTATATTTTAACTATGACATTTCTCTTAATAATGTGTTTCATATTAAAATTGTATTTTAAAAAAGCTATTGAAAATTTCACTAAATTGAACTCTCACTCATCTACAGAAACCTAGAAACACAATTAAAATTTAAATAGTCTATAATCTTATTTTTTTTCTGATAACTATAGCCATTTTCCTGCAAAACTTCTTACAAAACAAGACAAATTTTAAAAATAATAGAGTTGCCTATTTATCTGGCATTTCCTCTTTCTTATAGAACTCTTCTCATGAAGGAAGCCTTAAACAGTACTCCTATCACAAACAACCAGAAAGCTTCCTGAGGCATGGGGGGAAATGGAAAAAAAAAAAAGGTTTCAATATCCAATCATTATTTTGATTAATTTATTATTGTCATATCTATGAATCTGGGTTAATGTTTTCAAATCAGAAGATTAACTCTATTTCATTGGGAAGATATAACAGGAAAGTTATTTGACAAATTAAAAAACATTTCCCACGATTAGAATGCAGTACAAGTGACCATGTCGAGCTGTGGTAGACAGGGAGTGGGTTAAATCCCTTTTTCTCATTGCTCACACCGTCTGGGCATCAATCATGCTTTCTTCAATCAGAACGTCTAGTAGAAGCTTCACAGAACTGGCCAACTGTCAAGTGAAGATGTCATTGCTGTCCCCAGGGACCTACTTACCTGGCCTTGCTTTGTGGTTTTGCCTAGGACCCTCTGAAGAGGAGTTACTCTTCAGGCAGGAGGAGAGCGCCTTACCTCCAAGGAAAAGAGTCCTTGAGAAAAGCCAATGGGAAACGTGGCTCCGAGAGAACTGGGAGGACTGCATGGTGAGGAGGTGGAGAGGGAAAAAAGACTATTTTCCTCATTGATTCAAGTATGGCACCTTTTTAATTTTTAAGGACTTACCAACATAAATGTCAAAACTTTAAGCGTATTTTCAGAGCTTTTTCTAAAACACATGGTGATTGGGCTTCTCCATCTTTTTCCCTGCTTTGCTTCATCATAGCATGTTACTTATTTCTAACATTTTATTATATTTATTTTATTTTATATTTCATTAGGTTTTGTTATAAAGTATGTGTGTTTATGAGGGGGGGAGAGGAGAGAGAGAGAGAAAGGAAAATCCCTCCCTTGGGGGGAGATGGCCATGCTGCAATTCCTTCTCCAGTTTCTTCTCAGGATTTGGGGCACACAAGCACACGCACTTGGGATGATTTTCAAGCTGCTGGGTCTGGGACTCAACCTGCAGTCAACCATGTGGGGGTCCAGTGCCTTAACCAGCACCTGCCGGCCCCTTCTTAACCTTTATTTTATCCAGACATTGATGAGCTTGGAAAAAAGTTTAAAATAGTTGAGAATGAAATTGTTACTTGTGATAAAAAAAAATGTCCAGTATTAGACAATAAACTCTACCAAGGAGTTTACGATGTGATCTGGAATTCCTTGAATAATAAATGCATCAACCCAAAAGTTCTGATGAGCTGAGGCAGCCAGCCTGGTCTGAACAGAGCTACCCCAGGACGAATCCGAATTTTCAGCAGTGAAAAGGGAATGAGCTGTGATTTCTTGGTGCTCAGAATCACTCAGCAGACTGACCTAGCATTGAAACACCTCTGCAGTGAATGAGCCTGACCACTACAGAGGCTTGGCACTGTGACTACGCAGGGCTTCTAACTCCTGCTGGATCAAGTCACCTTTAGGCAGAAGACAACAGATTTACCAGGGAAAGCAAGTGTTTGTCAGAATGAAAGAGTAAAACATAACTTTTTCACAACAGAGTGAGATGCCAATATTTCTGTTTTTTGAAGTGATCAAATTATACTGAAAGTTTTCAAATAAATTTTAAATTATTTAGGTATAAGAATGGATACATTCTATTCCCCCAAATTTAAGTAATTACACTTATTGATTTGTTTATTTAAAAACTTCAGATAGCACGCCTCGGGCTTTGTCTTCCATTCTCAGGACTCTCCTTAGAGGTAAACATTTTGATGTATACATGCACTCATTTTTTATAGCTGAAATTTAAACCCTGGATCCACTGTAAAGGCCAAGGGGACTCGCCTAATAAACTATCTTAAGAAACTTAGTTGGCCTTTTGAGAACTATACCGTAAGAAAATGGCTAAATAAAATTTAACGTATCACAGAAAATGGAGAAGTAGTTGTTAATTAAAAAGAAAAAAAAGACATTGAGGAGGTGACATTTAATATACATATATGATTGTTTTATCATTTCTTAAGATTTATTTCTAAATAAAGATCTTTCATAATCTGGAATTTGGACCGTTAAGTCATAAAATGTCTAAAAATATCAAGAGTTTACAATTTTTTGAAGATATAGATATTTACATTACCTTAAAGATGGTAAATTATTTTACTTCAAAGTTTTAAAAGGAGAGTTGGCATCCTATGCAACAGTTTTAATTGACCAAAATAGATGAAAAAATATAGAAATAAAGAAGTTCGGTCAACTTTCAGGAATAGAGTTTACAACAGTAACGCTATCACCAGTAGTAGTTTTAATTTCCTTTATAGAAAACCTGACTGATGATAAAAGTAGAAATAAAATATCCACTTTTTAAAAAAATGCCAAGTTATTTTTTTTTATTGCCAAAGAGTATGTGTTCTTACCAGAGAGATATAAAGAGACAGAGAAAGATAGAGAAAGAGGGAGAAGGCACTCCCCCCACTAAGTTTTGGGGTACACAGACATGCATGCCCAGTGTCTGTTTCAAGATTCTGGGCTGAGTTTCCAACCATGTGGTCTATATGGGATCTGACTCCCTTAACTACTAGACCATGGGCAGTCTAAACTAACCAAGGATACATACCTAGTTAGTGGTGCCTGGGTCCCACAGGGTTAACTATTATTCAACTCTCAGCTCAAGAGGCTTTAAAGCTATGCTGAGCGTGTGTGCATGTGTGCCCCGAATCCCGAGTGAATGAAGAGTTGGAAGAGAATGTACCGTGGCATGACCATGTTCCACTGGGGGACGCTCTCTCCCTCTCCTTCTCATTCTCTCTCTCTTTCTCTGTTGCTTTCTGGCTAGTATCTGTGCCCTCTGGCAAATATAAAGAAAAAAAAGTCATAGTGTTCATCTTTTAAATGGTGCTATCTTAGGGCCAACAGCTGGTGTAGTGATCAAAGCACTGGATTCCCATATGGTGGATCTGGGTTTGAGTCCCAGACCCAGAAGCCTGAAAATCATTCCAGGCATGTGTGTGTGGGTGCCCAAAATCCCAGGAGAAGAATGGAGGAGAAGGGACTGTGGTGTGGCCAGCCTCCATGGGGGATGATTTCTCACTTTCTTTCTCACTGTGTGGTCTATATGGGATCTGACTCCCTTAACTACTAGACCATGGGCAGTCTAAACTAACCAAGGATACATACCTAGTTAGTGGTGCCTGGGTCCCACAGGGTTAACTATTATTCAACTCTCAGCTCAAGAGGCTTTAAAGCTATGCTGAGCGTGTGTGCATGTGTGCCCCGAATCCCGAGTGAATGAAGAGTTGGAAGAGAATGTACCGTGGCATGACCATGTTCCACTGGGGGACGCTCTCTCCCTCTCCTTCTCATTCTCTCTCTCTTTCTCTGTTGCTTTCTGGCTAGTATCTGTGCCCTCTGGCAAATATAAAGAAAAAAAAGTCATAGTGTTCATCTTTTAAATGGTGCTATCTTAGGGCCAACAGCTGGTGTAGTGATCAAAGCACTGGATTCCCATATGGTGGATCTGGGTTTGAGTCCCAGACCCAGAAGCCTGAAAATCATTCCAGGCATGTGTGTGTGGGTGCCCAAAATCCCAGGAGAAGAATGGAGGAGAAGGGACTGTGGTGTGGCCAGCCTCCATGGGGGATGATTTCTCACTTTCTTTCTCACTGTCTCTCTGTCTCTCTCCAGCGAGCGCACATGCTCTAGGCAAAAACCTTAAAAAAAAATAAATAATGGTGCTGTCTTACTCTGAAGTTCTCATAAATATGATATCTGAGTGTTTCCAAGGAGGCTAATTATAACTGTTGATTTAAACCAGTAATTCTCAAACAAAAGTTTATCCTCTTTTCTCTGCACCCCTAGAGAATTTCAGGATCTATTTAAAGATCCTGTCTTCTCAGCCCCATTCTGCAAACCACGTAAGCCACTCACTGGGTCTAATCAAGAGCTTCACCCTCCCCGCCCTTGAGAATTGCTGCAACATAATTCTGAGTGTTCGAATGTATGAGTATTGCGGAAGAGAAAAAACATTGGGGAGGACTGAGAAGTATTGGTGAGAAAAATATACACATGTTTCACTGACGATTCCTTCCAATAGTTGATAAGGAACTTACTGTTTCTTTTTGTTTTTCTTTCAGAATTTGAACATTTCGTTTCAAGATTTGGGGGACCCTTATCAAATTGACAATTTTAACAGGATTCTTAGGAGACTAATTCGAGTCGAAACCCTCTGGTTAGTGGATAATTCACTGGTGGATTTAAGTGCCATAAGATTGCCGAGGTACTTGTTCTCAGTCATGCTTAGTTGTATCTCTGCTGCTTGAATCCATGGGCCATTAATGAATGAATCATTAGTTACATTTTTCTAATACACATCGACATACACGTATATCAAGAATGATGTAGCGGCCCCAAATGTCTATAGCATACATTTTTTTTCTTTTCTTTTTTTTTTTTTCTAGAGAGGATTTTCTACTCACAGTACCTTTCCTCACCTGGTCAGGTCTTAAAGGTGAGACCTTGTGCTAAGTTGGCATGTACGGCAAGACAAAAGTTAAAAAAAAAAAAAAAAGTATGTGTCAAGATGATACACTTTTAAAAAAAAACCTATTCTTTCCAAATTAATATTTTTATTACCAGTTTTCAGGGAAGTAATTGTAGCCATGGAACCACAGGAGCAGAAGAGCTCGCTATTTTCTTTGTGTTATAAACTGGAAAATGCAATCGCATTACATATAATTTATAGTTCTTAACATAGCAATTTTTAGTAACTCATATTTATTCACCATTTATGGTAAAAGACTCCACAAGGTAGTTGATAGGAGTCTTGGCTTAAGCATTACATTCTAATACAGGTGTGGAGGCTGGTGATCAGATTAGTGGAAAAAAAAAGTCCTGCATGTTAAAAAAATTATTATGGACACTTTGGTCTCTACGACACCCAGCTTCTTTAGTTGTCAAAGAGAATCTGCTCCTTGCTCAGAGAATCCTTGTTGCAGAGAGCTGCTACCTGCTTGGCCGGAAAGAATGGGTAGCAGGAGTGAGCTTTGGTAGCAAGGAAAGGGGCAGACAGAAGTCAGGAATGGATTAGGAGACCAAAGGAAACAGCATCCACAGAAAGGAAGGGTGAAGTCTGGAGCAGTGAAGCACTCCGAGCTGCACTGACAGGCCGCAGAAAGAGACCCTCACAGCTGCACTTGAGAGGGGGCCCGTCAGCAGACAGAGGCCGGGCCTCTGTGCCCTGTCTGGGCATCTCTGCCTTAAGTCATTTCAAAGCCCCTTTGAAACTTGAAACATCTTTGCATAGTGCTTCGATTTCCTCTGCTCTTTTTAAAGAACTAGCTTAAACATACCTAAATACAAAGTTTTAAAAGAAACTTTAATTCACTACCACACATTGAAGTTGTTGGTTTATTCAGTACCTTTTTTGTTTTTTTGACTAGACTTTCTTCAAGATAATGGGGATGCAATAACAAGTCATTAGTTATGTGTTTCTAATACACATCTACCTAAACATACTTCAGAAATGATCTAGTGGCCACAAATGTCTATAGCATACTTTCTTTTTTTCAAAACATTTTTGCTATAGGCCACTTGTGCTCACTGGAGAGACAGAGAGACAGAAAGTGAGAAATTACCCTTTAGGGGGATGGCCATGCTGCAATCCTTTCCCCTCCACTCTTCTCTCAGGATTTTGGGCACACATGCACACAAGCCTGATGTGAGCTTTAAGTCACCAAGTCCAGGACTCAAACTACAGTCCACTACGTGGGAGTCCAGCAACGTAGCCAGTATGCCATCTGTTGATCCCTATCTATAGCATACTTTAGGAGCATTAAAACTAGAAGATTATTTACTTTGATCATTTGAACTTGTCTTGATCCAGATCAAGACAACTTTCAAATCTTTACTATTTTATAAAAAGAAAGAACAAAATCTCTTAAAAAAATAAGCTGACTTAGTTTCAGTGTTTACTAGATGCATTCTCTTGGCCATTCTCTTCAGCCTTTCTTGTTTTTATATGAGGGCACTTCAGACCATTTATGGAACATGGGACTCTTGTATGAGTCTCAGTGTAAAAATCTGGGAAATTCATAAAGTGTTTTTATAATGTATATCTTCCATGAACTGTTTGAACACCTCTTGTGTAACAGAAAATCATAGAACTGTAACTCAAACTTTACAACTGTCAAATTGATATATTAAGGGGAAAAATTATTTTTTATGGCCAAAGGGTGCATCCACTCAGCAGAGAGCGAGAAAGGAAGCCAGCACCCTGCAGAGGACTGTGGCCATAACACAATCCTTTCTCCATTTCTCCATCCTGTTGGGATTTTTTTTTTTCATTTGTCAAAGAATGTGAACTCACTGGAGAGAGACAGAGAGGAGACAGCTGGAAAGTGAGAAAGCACTTCCACCCTTACACACACACACACACACACACACACACACACACACACTGGGGGATGGCATGGCCAGGCCACAATCAGTTCCTTCTCCTTCATGCTTCCCTCCTCTCAGGGATTTGGACAAATGTGTACACGCACTCAACATGTATGTCAGGCTATGGAGATGAGATTCAAACCATGGTGGGCCATATGGGGTTTGGCTTCCTTAACAAAGAAGGGCACCCCAAGGAAAAAAATGATTTGCTGCCTCCTTCCCTTTCCCACAGAGCAAGTTGCATCTCTGCCCTCTTGGTGTCCCCTCCTCCTACCAGTCTGCTGCCTGGGGCACTCTGATCCCGGTGACTCTGGATATACATTGAAAAGCAAATGAGGAGAGAACAGATTTCAGAGGAGAATGGAAAGAAGGGAAAAGAGCAGCAAGAGCTTGGCTGGGTTTTTCACGTAGAAATTGTCATAGTACTGAAGTGCTCCTCAAGATGGTGGTATGTGGTGAACCGCAAAAGTCAGAAGTTACCAAAGATACGATGGGGACAGTGTAAGGTAGACATATGGAGAGGAGCTGGGAGAAAAGAAGGAAAATAAAAATAAATGATATAAAATAACTAGAGTGAGTACTGGCAAAAAATAGATAGATAGATAGATAGATAGATAGATAGATAGATAGATAGATAGATAGATAAATAAATAAATAAATAAATAAAATAAAGTAATGAGGACTGGCTTCCTAGTGCTGAAGTAACAGGCTACTCAAGAGAAGCCAGAACCCACTTGGCAACCAAGGTTCTAACACCTGGCCTGGTCAGCCTGAGACACGCCAGGCACAAACACAAGTGTCCAAAATCCAGTAGGATGAAGTCCTGGAGGAAGGGGATTGTCATGACCAGACTCTGTGGAGGGTACACCTCTCTCTCTCTCTCTCTCTCTCTCTCTCCCTCCCCCTCTCTCTCTCTCCCTCCCCACCTTACTCATTTGCTCTTACGTGTGTGCACATGTATCCTATCATGAATAAAGAGAAAAAAAGTTTGTAAGAAATTACAGTGAAACCTGGGTAGGTGCAATTGATTGTGTTTTCCTAAGGCTATTGTACTGCAGTTCTCTATGAGAATGGCGCCATATTTACTGTGGATGGTTATTTACCAAGAGTCTTTGTGGGAGTCCAAGGGATGTAAGATCAGTACTTTTGTTTTTCTCACGGTATTAAATACCAAGTTACGGGGCTGACAGGTGGCATGGTAGTTGAGAGTGGTGAACTCCCACATGACCAACTATGGTTCAAGTCCCAGACCTGGTAGCTTATTTTCTCACTTTCCCTCTCTCACTCTTTCTTTCTCTCACTCTGTCCCTCTCTGATCAAAAAATAGAATAAATAAATAAATAAAGTTAAATAAAATAATTCTTTTTTTCATAATTCTTTTATTTATTTATTTTTTTTTTTCATTTCATTTTCTTCCATACATTCAATCACATTATTATTTGTCTTACAAAATGGATATTTAAACAGGTGAACATTTCTCCCTAGTACTGTTGATAAAACTACGAAATATCTTCAACAGATAATACCACACCTCTTTGTGCCATTAATGCTTTGCCTCTCTGTCTCCCCCCCAAATGTCCTTCCTCAGACCCTCCTCTTTCACACACACTATATCTGGTATTTACATCTATATACTGCGTTTCTATGACCTTTAAACAATTAGTTTCAGTCATAGAGTGCAGACACTCGGTATATATTAAGTGGGGACATACAATGCCTCTCCTTCATAGCATGGCTTGCTTCATTCAGCAGTAAGTCTTCCATATTCCCCCCTCCAGCACTTATCATTTTTTGTTTTTTTTAATCTTAGACATTCTGACTGGGTTAGGTGATATCTCATTGTTGTTTTGATCTGCATTTCTCTTATAATGAGGGATGTTGAGCATTTTTTCATATGCCTTTTAGCTATTCGTATGTCATCTTTAGAGAGTGGTTTTTTCAACTCATTCTCCCATCTTTTAATAGGATTGATTGTTTTTCTCCGGAACAGCTGCTTGAGTTCCGTGTGAATTCTGGTTATGAGTCCCTTATCTGACGCATAGTTTACAAAAATATTTTCCCATTCTGAGGGTTGTCTATTCACACTAATCACTGTGTCTTTTGCCATGCAGAAACTTCTTAGTCTGATGTAATCCCACTTGTCTATTTCGGGGATTATTGACTGTGCATTCAAAAAAAGTTTGTAAGAAATTACAGTGAAACCTGGGTAGGTGCAATTGATTGTGTTTTCCTAAGGCTGTTGTACTGCAGTTCTCTCTGAGAATGGCGCCATATTTACTGTGGATGGTTATTTACCAAGAGTCTTTGCAGGAGTCCAAGGGATGTAAGATCAGTACTTGTGTTTTTCTCACAGTATTAAATACCAAGTTACGGGGCTGGCAGGTGGCATGGTAGTGGAGAGCGGTGAACTCCCACATGACCAACTATGGTTCAAGTCCCAGACCTGGCAGCTTGCTTTCTCACTTTCCTTCTCTCTCTCTTTCTTTCTCTCACTCTGTCCCTCTCTGAACAAAAAATAGAATAAATAAATAAATAAAGTTAAATAAAATAATTCTTTAAAAAAAAACAAGTTATACATAAAAGATTTTTTTCTTTAGGCAAGGTGTCAGTTGTAGATTTTGAATTATTTTCTCTTTTTGCCCAGTCTTGTATAATTATGTTTTAAGGCAAAAATACTGAGAAACATCTCTTAGGAAAATATATTGAACTAAAATGCCTAACACACTTTGTCTCCTAAATATATTTTCTAGATTTCTTTTATAGAAGAAAAAAAACCCTTTTCCTGACTTATAGTGCTATTTTCCTCAATATATCTTTTTTTTTTTTTTTTGGAGAGGTTTTCACTATAGGGCACGTGCACTTGCCAGACAGACAGAGAGACACATAGACACAGAAAGCGAGAAATCACCCCACAGGGGGGATGGTCACGCTGCAATCCCTTCTCTTCCATACTCCTCTTGGGATCTTGGGCACGCACGCACATGAGCCCAGCATGAGTTTTAAGCCACCAGGTCCGGGACGCAAACAGCAGTCAACTAGTGGGAGTCCAGCGACATAGCCATTATGCTAACTGCTGGTTCCTTCATTTTTTTTTAAGTACAGGAAAGTTAAAAGAAAATAATAATAATAATAATCTCACTACTCAGAGACAACATTCTCTACAAGTTGTTGTGTGTCTTTGTATATGCATTTACACTGCTGAGACTGCATTCGGCTATTTACTCTCATTAAGGACAGCTCAAAAACTTACTATGGCCCAAATACGTGCCAGGGACATTGGAAAAGATAACAGATCGCTGTATTCAACAAGCTTATGGTCTTGTGTATTCTGCTTATTTTCTCCTAACATGCTAAAATAAACATTTCTCTCTCTCTTTCTCCCTCTCTTTTTCCACAAAAAAAAAAAAAAATGTAGAAAACATCACGGTCACCCTCTTGAGAGTGTTTATGATTTAGGTGAGGCATTGCTGGCCCTATGTAAGATCTGGTAGTTAACCATCCCCTTCAAATGACAATTAACAAGATCCTTATATTTTTAATCCAGCTGCAGAATTTTAAATATGGACAAAAACCACCTCACATCTTTCAAACAATTGCCAAAGGTACCTCAGATACAACATTTATCCTTGGCTGAAAACCACATTGAGACGCTGGCCGGGCTCTCCAGTCTACGGTGCACTCCGTTAGAATCCCTTACACTCAAGAGGAACCCCTGTGAGTTTCACCAAAATTACAGGAAACGGTAAGGCCCCAAATGCTTGAAGTTACCATTTGCACTCTATTTACTTTTAACCACATTTTAAAATATTATTCCTCTCTTACTTAAATTCATTCAGCAAATATTTGTAACTTCTACTATTGGTCATGGAAAAAGTCATGATGTATTTTTCTACGTAAAACTGCATCATGACTTTTCCGATGACCCAACATTTATTGAACACTTCAAGGTTCTATTTTCAGCTAAAGAACTTTAAAATTGGTGCTGGTGGGTAGTATGGTGGTGAACAGTGCTGGATTCCCACATGACTGAGAGCAGTTCGAGTCCCATACCTGGCGGCTTGCTTTCTCTTTTTTTTCTCTCACTCTTTGTCCCTTTCTCTCTGGTCAAATTTTAAAAATAATAATAACAAATGAAATTAAATAAACAAATGAATAGTCATTCAAGAAAAAAGGACTTTAAGACAATCTTTTGGTGTCTTTCATTTCATCTTTAATGCAGTCTTTTCTCTTGGGTAATTGATGATTGATGTTCAGATGTCAGACTTCTCTTGTAATATGGCTTTCCATACACAAAAATGTTTCAGTTTAGACTTTTAAATTCTCTACACTTTCTCTCACATGTTTAGTAGATATTGTGTCTCTAAAAAAATTTCTAAATATAGATTCCTATCAAGTTCTATGTGACAATCTTTTAAATGGTTTATTTTCTGGTTCTATTTTCACTCCTTCGGGCCATAAGGGCATCGTTAAGTGAATACAAAGAAGAAATCGATTCAATCTACTCTTGAGTTGAAAGAGCTCAAAGCCTGCCAAGAAGAAAGCATTTTTATTACTTTGTCACTATTGGAAATGTTCCTACTGCTAATAGTGGAATCCAAACAACCTTGGAGTGGGCACCACATGACATACCCACCTATTTATCTCCACCTAATTCCCAGCACACTGTGTTCCCCCCACATAACCACGGGTCGCCTCACCTCGCAGCTGAATGTGTTATTCAAAGGCTTAGATCATCTCCAGGCTCCCTTCCTATTTTATGATTATATTCCCTCATTTATATTCAATTTCAATGAAAGACATAGTTCTCACTGTCTTCCTTTCTCATCTTGCCATGTTTCCATGACAGCAGCTATATTCCAGAGATGTATATAACGTTGGACCCTTTACCTCCTGATGTACGATGAAAAACTGTCAAAATAAAAATTCTAATCTCTGTGGTTACTACATAAATCTCATTACTGCAGTTGTCTCCCCTACGTCTGCAGTCTGAAAGCAAAATTTCGTGTTTACGATAATAAATTCTCAAATTGCTTTCATGTAACCGTGAAAATTAGCATCCCAGTTGCTTTTAATATTGAACTAATATTTAACCGTAATAATTTTTTGAAGTTTAAAAGTATCCCTCCTGCAGTCATAAGAGTTTGAGATGGACATTGCAGCCTCATTCACAAGAAAGCACATTCCAAGTCATAAGAATAATTTAATACTATTACATTTAGTTGTGTTAATTTATGTGTGGGGTTTTATAAAGCTTTTGGTCCCGTATTAGTCACTTGCCTCTTTTCAAGGAAGGCCTTAAAACAATAGTATTAGGATTAATCGTCTAAAATCGAATATGCCCTAAGGTCTCACTATAATTCTGTCTTCAAAATTCATGATGTGGTTTAAAGTTATGTAGCAAAGAGAGCTATAATGAGATTCTTCTATTTTTCTAGTATTAACTCTTTTAGGTTAAGTCCAAAGTGAATGCATACTGACTTAATCACTAAAAAGCCAGATTATGTTACTTAGGTAGTGCAGGGTTACATTGAACAGAGAGTTGTAGTCATTTTAAAGAATGATGGAAGGTTTTAACCAACCATTCATGCTGAGAAACTAGGCTGATGTCCAAAGTTTGTCCAAATTTGGATTCAGTTACCCAGCCTAAACGCTATACTTTGAAGATTTGAATAGCATTCATTCTATCATTGGGTATCTTTGTCAAGGACTTGGACCAGACCTTGAATGACTTTTTTACACTATGCTCAGAATTATTTTAAGTATAAATTTTTCTGAATCTTTGTCACCTAGAATTGTGATGTTCCCTTCCTCCTTTGTTTCAGATCCTCCAATAAGAAGACAGCACGATTCAAAAGAGAAAAGACTTAATGATAGAGCTAATAGTGTAAGTCCCAGTAGGTAGAAGGTAGCCCCATTTCTTGGGACACTCATGGACAAACTTCTCTATCATTCTCCAGAAGTCTACGTGCTGCTATTTCATGAGTTTGACGTTTTAATGAAAGTGAGGTTGGGAGCTCCTGCCAGCTATGTCTGACCATGCAGGCCGTAAGACTTAGATTTTAATCTCTGCCCCGTCACCTACAGGCTTTATGATCTTGGATGAATTTCTTAAAATGGAGGACAAAAACCAACCGAACACAACTGTTGTAGAGGATTAATAGTAAAATATGTAGAAAGCACTTAGACCTAAGAAACTCATACAGTCAATGGGAACTTTCAAGGTGGTCAGCACCATCACTGACTTAGCAATCTGCTGTGAGGTTTCAGTATGCTCCATGCAGGAAAATAAGAATGCCATATGGCAGGAAAATAGGAATGCCATATGCCGTATGGCCTGAGTCCTCAGAATTCCCCGATCTAGACTAGCTGTCCATGTGAAAGAAACTGCAGCTTTGTAACACTGCTAGATGATCACTCTTTAAAAGGATTGATCGGGAGGATCTCTTTTTGAACTTGTTAGTGACCCTCTAAATTTGAAATGTGAGCTTCAAAAGAGCTCTCTGTCATGAGAAAATAACTCCACACGATTATTTTCCAGCTTCTCAACCAGAATTCTTCCTAAACTATCACTAAAACATGGCCTTGCTTTATTTTCTCTTTCAACTTTCAACTTGTTAATGAGCACATGTATCATGATCTCATTCTTTCTCTCGTAGTTAGCTGGCTAAATCCACTCATTGATTTTTTTTTTTCCTTAACTTTGTAAACCTTAGAATGAAATTCTTATAAACATAGATTGTATGTAGTCTTACCTCTCTGATCAATACTTATTATTTGCTAAAAGATCTTTTAGATTCCTAAGAAGCCAAGCTATGGCAGAATTATCAGCTCAATGAACATGGATGATATTTTACTTTATTTTACTTTAACTCACTGGAAAGACACAAATAAAAGAATAAAGGAATATCTACTCAGACTTCTTTAGTGCTAGGCACAGTCTGTTTATTTACAGAAGGTAAGTGAAGTAAAATGGTTTCGTTCAATATAGTTACTTTTTTTTTTTTTTTTAACTTTTGCTGTAGAGTGTTCTCCTGTTTGCCAAACTTAAAAATGCTGGATGGGATCTTGAAGCTACCAGAAGATTGTTCACCACCACAAACCAATATATTTTCAAAAATGTGTATTGTATCCTAATTCAATCTGCATATTAATAGAAAGAAAACAATTGTCGTTGCTGCTAAAACTAATAAACACAGAAAATGCATGATTAAATATTTCCATTTATTTATTTTTTGCCTCTTCATATCAGGACAGGAAAACATTTTCTGTAAAGAACTAGAAGGTAAATATTTCAGCTTTGGTGGGCCATATAGTCTGTCATGACTACCCAGCTCTGCCATTGAACTACAAAAGCAGCCACTGACATCTGTACAGAAACGGGTATGTCCATGTACCAATAAAGTTTTATTTACAATGACATGTGGCAGGGTGTCGTTGGCTGACCCCAGTTCTAAGTCTTAAGGTCATGCAGCTGATTACACTACTTTTCACTTCCACGCACTTTCCCTGGTAGGGATGTATGCGTTCCCTATTCCTTGAAGTCAGACATGTCAATGAACCTGCTTTGACTAGTGAAATATAAGCAGGTATGATATAGACCACTTGCAACAGAAATTTTGAAACAATTTTGTGCTTTGCCGTATGAATTTTCCTAGTGCTGCTCCAGCAGGCAGATAGAGGACACTCGAGCAGCCTAGGCCCTTGGATGAAGATAGTGTGGAGCAGAGATGGTCATCTAATAGGCTCTTAGGGGAAGATGAGGGGACTATGCTATCAGCCTGAAATTTCACTTACTCTTGCACCAAAGTTTACCCTCTCCTACTACACACAGGTCCTTAAATTTAGGGGACAGAAATGTAACTTATTCAGTGATGTGTTTTTCCCCAAAATAGCATACTAGGTATTCAAAATGTTGAATGAATAGATAAATGGCTATTGCAGGAAACTTTAATGGGTGGCAGAATTAAAAGGTAGCTACAACTGTAATAGTTCAGGTGACATGTATTAAAAACTTTTTAAAAAAAGGTTTTACCATAGGATACACGCACTCAGCAGAAAGAGACAGTGAGGGAGAAAGTGAAAAGTCACGCCATGGGGGGATGGCCACATTACAATACCTTCTGTTCCATGCTCCTCCTGGGATTCTGGGTACCCATGCACACATGCCTGGTGTGATTTTCAAGCCATCAAGTCCATAACTCAAAACCATGGTCAGCCATGGGGGAGACCAGTGCCTTTGCCACTACGCCACCTGCTGGCCCCTACATATATTAGAAACTTTAATTAGGGAAATAATGCTAGAAATATAAAGGCATTATGAGATCATGAGAAACTGGAGAGTTGTAACAGTCAACAGACTGTTTTATGGTTTAAGCTAGTTTGAATTTGATTTTCTGCTACTTGCAGGCAAACACGTTGTAACAGAGGGAAGATCACTAGTTTCAGACGTAAAACTTCCAAGGGCTGGGTGGCAACACTTAGCTATGAAGAAAACTGGCTAGTCTCACTGGCAAAGATCTTCAGATGCTTTTCACATTCCTGAGACATCCTGCATTGAGGTTACCATCTGCTCTTCTAATTTTAAGGGGGTACAGGTTGTATGGGCAGTGTGGGCAAATGCATGTGACTTCAGCTGGTTCAGCTGTCTGTGCCAGAAGGGAGCCAATTAGAGAGAAGCCTATAAACTGAATAAAACCAAACAAAAATTAAGTCTGTCCACTCACAATCACAGCGGGAGCTCACACAGCCATCAGTGGTCACCTGTTCAGGGATAGAAATCTCAGAGGTAACTGTATCTGCTTACTTGACCTTGACCTGTAATGCTTCCTTGTATCTTCTCTAATGCTCAGAGGTGGTTGCCTAAGCATAACAGCAGACCTACTGTCCTGGGAATATGCAGGAATTTTTTTCTCTTTGAGAGAGCGATTTTTGCTATAGGGCACATGTGCTTGCTGAAGAGACACAGAGAGATGGAGAGATAGAAAGTGAGATGGAGAGACATAAAGTGGCCATCCTGCTGGGGATGTGCAAGCCCTTCTCCTCCATTCTCTTGTCAGTATTTTGGGCACACACGTGCAGTTTGTGTGAGTTTCAAGCTGCCATGTCTAGGACTCTAACTGCAGTTGGCCATGTGAGAGTCCAGCACCTTAACCACTGCGCCCTGCTGACGCCTAGGCAGGGATATTTTTTCTCAACAATAAAGCTATATTGTGAGAATTGTGTGTATAGAGGCCAAAAATGACTGACTTCTGGCCACATTCCATGTAATTCAGCCCAAAGGACGTAAGTTCCCATTCCAAAATTTTCAATTACATTCATTTTCCTGAAATACTCCCTTTTAATCTAATATATTGGTTGTAACAAGCATAAACGGAATGTCTTTATGCTGCTTAGAATCTCACATCTAATGCTCTGTCTCAATTTTCTTCTTCTGAATGGTGCTGGTATGCAGGTTTATGATTACCTGAGGGCTCAGTTCAAAACAGTTGAAGGGATTAAATTGTGTAGGTGCCACAGTTTTCTGAAAGGGGAGCATAATGCAAAAACCTTTTTAATTTCGGAACCAAACTAATTTCAGTAGCAGAAGCTCATTCAGCACATAAGGGAAACATATGTATCAATTAGTCCAGCACCTCACCAGTCCTAGTTCATGCCTACATTGGTGTACAACATCCCATAAAGGATTTTGCGGCTTACATTTGAACAAGTTGAGGTGCGAGAAATGTCTGTTAATAGGTCCATCCTCGGTGGCATAGTCCGTGGTTAACAGGACTGTGGTGGAGGAAGCCACACGGCCACTATGGATTCAGATCTCTGGGTTGGCCTGAAAACACACCAGGCACTCACAGTTACCCTGGATCCTAAAGAGCTAGAAGACTGGGGAGACAGGATGGCAGTGTGATGGGATCCTGTCAAGGGTGCCTCTCTCTTTCCTGTGAGTATACCCACTATAATAAAAAGAATCTGAAAAAAGCATTTTTGATCCATTTTAATCTTTGGAAGGTTCTTTCTTAAAGTGAATCAATACCTGCTTTTGGAACGTCTACCTAACTGTTCAAATATCTCAAGTGATTATAAGTAATTCCATTTGGTAGGAAATTTTTCTCAATTTTCAGTTTCTTGAAAGTATCATGATATTTCTTCTTATGTAACAGTAGAAATATGAGTGGCTAAACTGGAATTCTGTGGGATGAGGAGAATGAAGAAAGTGTAGGAAAAATCAACAAGAACCAATGTAAGAAAAAAACATTATTTTCTTGAAGTTCTTTATACAGTCAAAGTGGAATATTTTTAAAATAAATCATTTGTGCCAAATTTTTAAAATTAAGTTAGCAAGCTTTTTTTTCAGTTCCTTGAGAAGGCATATACTTTCAGTTATTATTTATTTCTAGACTACAACAATTATAACTAATTGCTTGTCATTTTACTACCAAACTGTGTTAATGGATGCCCATCTTCTTAAAGGCTAATTGCAGTCATGAAACAAAATTTCTAATTAGTTTTAGAGCTTTAGAACAGATGCATCAATATTGGAATCATGGATGTATACATTTGCTTTTCTGTATTTTTTTTAAGCATTCTACGAGTTCTGTTTGGAATTTCTGAAAGGTTATTCCAAAATCTATTATATAACTTTATAAAAATCATGGTGAATTTGTTGCTTAAAAAAAAAATCTTTATTTTTTTTCTAAACTCTGAGTGTCCTTGAGCTGCACATATTTTATGGCCCCTTTCATTTTATAGTTTATATTCTAATTCGTTTTGACAGAGTCTACTAAAATGCAAGTTTTTTCAAGGGCAGATTCATCTTAATTCCTCTTTGTACCTCTGAAAGTATTTTTTAAAATTCAATTTAATTTTCTTTTTTTCCCCCCACAAGTTGTGTGTACTTGCCAGGGACAGACAGTGAGAGGGCAAGTGAGAAATCATCCCTCTGGGGTGGGGGAGGGGTATGGTCACACCACAGTCTGCTTCTCCATTTTTCTGGGACTTTGGGCACTCACACACATGCACCTGGCATGATTTTCAAACCATCAGGTTTAGGGCTCAAACTGCGGTCAGCCACGTGGGAGTCTCGTGCCTTAACTATTAGGCCACCTGCTGGCCCCACCTCTGAAAGTATTAAGCATTATTGTCAATTAATAGTGAGTGGATGAGGAAAAATTGAGTCTATTTTCCTTGATATTAGATTTTTAGTACTGAAAAACAAATTTTAAAAATATATCTCATGAGTCTAAAGAAATAAATATTACAAGGATGAAATAAATACTTCTTGAACCAAAAATCTGAGTCATGAATCTCTCTCTGGGATAGATGATAGCCTTCGGGGTGCTCCAGGCTTCATTTCTACCTGCTTCCCATAAACAAGTCAGACCAATAGCCAGCAGCTCTTTCATCTCCTCCCTCTTCCTCCATGGACAGAGGGAGGAGGGCCAGACTCTTTGAACACTAATTACTGACAAGGTTGTTTTCTGTCAGTGGAGCTTAAAGGAGGCCTTGATTTTCCTTTTCCTAATTCTCTTCCTCCCACTCTTGAAAAGCGAAAAGGGCCCTAGCTTTCTCTTTCTCTGTCTCTTGAGGTGTAAACTTCATGTCTCTATTCTCTTGTTCAGCAAAAGACTCTGTCCTTGTTTTACAAGGTTGTGGCAGTGAGCGAGGCTTAATCCATGCTAGGAAAGGGGGAAGCACTCTTTTCTATTTGCTTGTCTCCATGTGCTCTTCAACTGGCAGGTGTAGCTTTTGTTTTATGGAAGTAATCATTTCTAAATAGCAGATCCAGGCTCAGGTGAATGGCAGTCACTCATATGTCTAGCTAGGTCATGCGTTCTAGTAAATCCTAGTACAATTTACTAGACTTTGTCAACAGCTTTTGGGGCAAAGACCTAATTTGTAATAAAATGTTATTTTGTTTAACTGGATATTGTCATTTTCATTTATCTCTTTCCAGAAAATTGTAGGAGATTTTTCTGGAGAAGAATTCTTATATTTCTGAGTCCTATGGCCAAAATATCATTTTTAATAGCATGCTAATCTCACCCTACTCTCATGTGCTGGCACATAAAATATAATACAAGATGAAATACAAAAGCTGACAGTTCCTTGCTAAGCATTAAATTAGCTATGACCTAAATCAAATGTACATAAACCAATTAAAACAGTATCTTAAGTTCTATAGATGCCAATCATACAGCTT